TGCAGTGCACTGTACAAAGAACGCCCTTTTTACTTCGACTGCTTCTAAAGAGAAGCATTGCTTATGAAAAAATTGCTGCTGCAAATCACATTTTACTCGTGCGCTGTAATTCGAAGAGAAATGCCTTGTTTTCAGGTGGTTATAGTACTGACAACGTTAGCTTCACTGAAAATACTCTTTGTGGAAACGAAAGATGATTTGAAAACGGGCTATTCGTCCTCCAGTGCTCGCGCTTTCGAAGAGCTGGAAATTTTCCGAAAGTTCAGTGATGGCAAGGACCCGGTTGTGGTCGTTGTCTTCGTGATGGCAAAGGACGGTGGCTCAATGGCACGGATTGACCATTTAAATGAGACTGTGAATATTATCGACTATGTGGGCACTCATTTTCCTGTGAAAAATCAAACCTACTACCGCATGTGCAAAAATTTTTGTGATGCCAATGAGCCGATTCGACAATTTAGGGTACGCACCTCGTAACTGCCTTAAATTTTCCAGCGTGCTCTGTTTGAAAAAATCAAACAGAGAGAAGTTGGTGAAGTACTGATGAAAAACGAAAAAACGTAGATGCGCAGGTTCTCATCCTGATTTTTGGCGAAAAATATAGCATCTATTGTTTACGAAGCAGCTGGAGCAAACGGGCGAATAAAGACTCAACAAATGGATCAGTAGTATTTTTGCTGCCTGTTAATTACTTCTTTCATCCGGCAGTTTATTGCAGATTTTTAAAAACTGTTTTTTTTTTTTTGGATTTTTAAAAACATTTCAGAATGGGCTCCTTTTGCACAGTACAAGACACGCTGAAGTTGGCGGCACCGGAGGCGGAAATACTAGCGACGCCGGTTTAATCAATATATCATTTCCAATCATGAAATTTCTTGGCCGTGATCTTGACTTGTCACCATACTTTTTTGGTGTTGATGTAGATTCAACAAAATATCTCAGTGAAACTCTGGGTACAAATATTAAATACGTGAAATTAGTGGCGCTGCACTTCCGAACCCAACGACCGAGTGAGTGGAGCACCGATGATGCACTTCGCTGGGAAAGACTAGTTGGCAGTTACTTTCGAAGGTTGCACATTACCAATTTATTTACGCTTTAGAATTGTCTGCAGCCAAATGTAAAGTTTCTTTTTTTTGACTGTAAATTCAGACCGGAAACGAATGGTCTCTGAGAAAAATTGAATTTTTTCATTCAAAAGTCAACATTCACAAACTTTTACAAATTTTGTCACGAAAAATTAAAAACCACGGTGGTTTCGTGTCAGGAATGTGTTTGCAGTGGTGGAACCACAATTTTTCTTTTTTTGCTTTTGTTAAACGCGGTCAAGGGATTGAAACGGAGGACAAATGAGCAAAAGGAAAGAGACCGATAAAAAGGGTAGAAGAATGAGGTGAAAAGGAGTGAAGGACAAAAAGTGGAGGTTGGTGGAGAGAGAAAACTTGGTATTAAATGAACATATTGAGAGAATTCTTAAAATCTGGCCCAGACATGTTCTGAGGATGCGACTAGACTGAGCATTATCCTAAGATAGTAACCAATTGCGACAAGTACCAAGGTTCTTAAACCCAACTGTGATGCGCACCAGAGTTCTTATCGCGGATATGTTTTGCGATCAACTAAAACGACTGCCTGTTTGGAAAATATAAAGATTATAAAAGAAGGATATGAAGAAATAAATAATGAAAGTAAAAACAAAATTAAATTCATGAGCTAAAATTTTTGGTCCATCAGGTCGTATATGCTTCCATTCAACACTTACTTGATAGATGACAAATTTCACTTATTCATGGATGACAAATTTGCTCTAAATTTCCTGTAGCGTAAATTAGGATTAAAACGTAACCAAAGACTGTGATCCAAAATGTTTGGACACTTAGCTTGAAAGTTGACGAGCAAAAAAAATTTTGTAATTTCAAAATTCCAAGTTTCCCTCTGCGCGCATGTCATAAGTGGCTGTAAAAGACAACTGCATGTTTTAGGGCAGAAAAAGAAACGATGCAGAAAGACATGCTCACACTGGTCAACCGCTGCTCAAAATTAATTATTAGAGTGTGTTCAAGCACTCCCTAAAAACGAAGAGGGGAGAGCGAGGAAGGAAGAAATGAAAGGGCTTCATAGCACTTGTAAACTTCCTGAAATTTTGTGATCCTTGCAAGTTTGATGTTATTAACTCTATTACGCAGGAAATTTTCGTTTTAATTTTAGTGAATACAACAGCTCACTAATTCGGCCAATCGTATTTTCAATAGCGCTTACTCAGGATGAAGTAGTTCGAGCCGGATTCGCGTTCATGCCTTACATATCAGTTGGATTCATGATAATGTTTGCATTTGCTGTTACAACAGTTAGCGCTGGTTCAGCCTACATGAAACAAGTTAGTTGTTGCTGTTTTTATATTTTTTACCCGTTAACAGAAGTCTAGTCAAAAAAGAGATTTCCTTCACTGCTGCTACCCTTATTTTTTTATCGATATATGGCCTAGGGAGAAGCACGACGACGTTTCTACAAGCAGATTCTAACATAAAATATTACGTGACTGCCTCCCTATGTAGCCTAGGGTAACTTTTAAAGCGATCCTGGCACTTATGAAAGCTCTTAATGGATAGCTTCTAGTACACACCTTGACAATTACTAAAACTTACAAATAAATATCATTAGCAGCGCGCACCAGGATTGCCCGTCATGCGATTCTGTGTAGTCTCGTACAGCAGCGTGAACATTAAGAGTAAGAACGCCCAGTACGATGAGCACATTTGCTGGAAATATACACGCTGGTCTTTTCTTCCACGTTCCGGAGATGGAACCATCACTGGGGCAGAGGCGTTGTACCATGGAGCCTCGTGAATCTTCAGCTTTCTAGCATGTCTGATTACCGTAAGAGGAGAATGCCTGCGACTTTGCAAACGAAACTTTAACATCCCATACAGGGAAAGTAAGCACGCGTAAAATTAAATCTGAGGTCTTTAAAGCCGCAGATAACCATCTCGCATAATTTCATCTCCCTGTTTTGTCTAACTCTAATGTGTTCGTACATGAAATTTGGACGCGCGTGAAAGTTGATGTCGTCTCTGGGATAGCACTTGGTCAGGGAACCTACTGGCAAAATTTCAGCAACAAAGCTTACTTGGTTGTCGAATTGACATACCCGGACATACATACACACTATGTGTCATGACAATATGCGCTTTTCATTTGCACAAGAATATAAAAGCGCATACCGAACAAAGAAGTGAGGTACGAGAATACGGAGCTTGAATAATTTGGGACTGCACTGTGTGCACAGGTCTCATTCGCGAATACTGTATTTTGTACAAGTGCCATTGTTATATTATTTACGGTACTGTGCAGAGAAAGAGAAAGTGGTGAGATGGCAAACTTCTCTTCTATTTCCTTCCGGTATTCTTAAATCATGGTTGCAATTTAAACAGGTTGTGAATTTGTTTTTGATTTGAAGACTCTGCAAAAACTGCGCGTTTGAGAAGAGTTGCACTTTTGCGAAAAGCATACGAAAGTTTCGCATTAAAAAGTAACAGAAGATGAAAGCTGAGTAAATTATAATATATTCTTGATAAGTTCGAGTTCGCGAGCCAGGCGTGGTTCTCGGAGCAATTAGAAGCCAAAGTTTTCTCCACGGTTCATTTTTTATAGGAGGTTAGTGTACCAAGAAGTAGTTCAAAAAGTGAGAGAACAGTTTACAGGATGGGGAAAAAACAACAAAAGCAGCGACAATTTTACTTCGTTACAGTTCTCGATACAGAAAATAATTTACGCATTTATTGGCTGCATCACACCACTGATGGCCACATCAACAGCTCTTGGCTTATTATTTTTATTCGGAATGCGGCCAGGCTCAATACTCTGCGTCACACCTTTTCTTGTTCTTGCCATAGGTAAAATCATTTGCAGGATTTTTAGGAAAGCACTATGACGACTATTCGTGCCTGTGAGCAACTTTTCTAGGAATTCAGCTTCAGAGATAATTAACTCAGGAACCTAAAGCTTCAGAAACATTGCTTTTGAGAATGTTAAAAAAAAATCATTTGAAATCAATTTCTTCTCTTCTTTTCCTCCTCCACCAGTAAGTTGCAGTCGCTTGACGACATGCAAGATCTGAAATCATTTGTTTCCAATCATTGTCTGGCCTACTTTTCATTTTTGAGCACCAAGATCAAGACCGCTCGGGTATTCGATGTGAGGAACTCACTGTGAGTTAATGTGTCCTCAGCATAATGGTACTGAAGAGTTAGGCACGCTACTTTCGATTCCACAGATTGAGAAAGTCAACGATGCTTCGGAATTCGCATTAATCGACAGCCCTTCTAAATTAGTCTTTATTGAAGTTTGTGGCGTGTATTTCATCCCTAGCAAGATAGACAACAGACGGTTTAGAACGAGAATCTCATCTACTGTACTGTTATTCATCCATAGTGTCAAGCAAATTTGCCAAAATTTCTGCTTCACAACTTGGGTCCGGTGATGCCATATTTTTTTAGCAGTAGCCATTTCTTTTTAGGTGTCGATGATGCGTTTCTGATGATAAATGCTTGGAACAGGACGGAAGCTGAAATGCGCAGCAAAACAGTTGTATACCCAGCAGTTCGAGACCGGATGGTGGCAGTGAGCCCTTTCATGCCAATTATAAAAAAAGAATGGCAATTTCGTTAACGTGTCAGAACCGGGCCACCAGTTGGCGTCATATTTGGTAAACGGGTTTCTGGCACCATAAAAATTCCAACTTTGCTAGTTCTGGTACCACGAGGGTATTTCGGTGAAACATGAAACTGAGTTGTGGGGCCCTGCAAAATACGCTGAAATTAGCAGTCATAAAAGTGATAAACTGGATATTTTTTAGGAAACTAATTCAATAAACAATTGGAGCAAGTTTCTAAAAAATACTAAACTTCACTGTGTCGCAGTCTATAAGCTGAGATCCAGGATTAGGTTAGGTTTTTAGTTCCAGAATTAAAAAATTTGCAGGACTGAAGTTTCGAGGAATTAATCCTCCAATTAATTAACAGTGAACATTCTGAAATGAGGAAATAAGCCTCACTGCATTGTGGCATTCGGTAAGAATCATTTAACCCAGGCTGGAACGCACCAGGCGAGCCGGTGCGATCATGCGTTTTTGCATCAGACTTTGAGGTA